ATATGTATATACATATACATATGCATATGCATATACATATACATATACATATATATATATATATGCACGTGTGTGTGTGTGTTTTGTCCGCCCGTCTGTGTATACGCGTTTTGCATGCATACATGTGTCTTCAGATCTGTAGAGATCTGGGTCTAGATTTTCACACACTTTTGCTTACTAAGATGCAGACACGACTTTACACCTCTGCTACCCCAACCAAAGTCACCATGTGCCATTTATGTTATCATGTGAATAGCACACTTGCCTGGCACCCCAAACCTTCGAGACTTGATCTTTCTGGTACTCAGGCGTGTATCTTCTGCAAGAAACCAAGACGGCTCCGGGCAACGGCTTAGGATTTTCATTCGAACCACGAAAGGATTGGTAGATGGCAGTATATCGTGCTACAGTGCCGTGAGGGACTGTATGCCGACGCAACGCACAGCGGCACTGCAGTCTGCAACGACTACGGAGTACTGTGCTTCACCACTTTCAGTCCTACTCTTACTCTGCTGTCCGGCATTAGGGGTTTGTAGCTGAAAGACGGTGACCCGCAGGTCTCGCTGCTGCAAATGGACCATCAAGTAGACCTGCACGGGTCTGCACAGCTGGAAAACGCCGACGACGGCGACGGCGATGGGGACGGAGACACCGATGCTTTCGGTAACAGCGACTCTTCGAGCACCCCGGCTGCACAAGCCGACGCGGTTTAAAGAGCTTCTCACCCATATAATACTTGTATGCAGGGTGTGGTGTTTGGGGCATGGACTCTGTGGACACAACATAGCCGAGGCGCATCACTACGGCAAAACATCACGCTCGAAGAGGTCGCATTTGTGCAGGCTCATTGACTATATAAGCTGTTCAGCTACACGCACGTCATCCAAAAAGGTCCAAGTTTCCTGCAAGGGTCAGCTGCCAGGAAGCTACAAATCGCACTTCAGTGGCACTGCAAAGTCTGGACGTCCTGGGACACCTGGAGTACGAGCTGCAGGCAGGGTCATCAGATGAGTATAGACGTAAATCCGACCGAGCAGATCGTGCGTTTTAGGTTGGCGCGGGCACCAGCGCCAAGAGCAAGGCCGGGCCTGGGTGAACCCACTCAGTCCTCTTTGGATTTGGAGCAGGGGACCCGCAAAACGCAGACGCGACCTGGAGCAGTAACCGGCCTTTCAGCCTCAGGGGATCTCAGCTCTTGGCAGGTGGCCCTGGCTCTGATGGAGCTGACGGTGGTGCCTGGAGTGCTGGGGCTCGATCGATGCTACATGGGTCGATTTGCCTGCAAAGTGTTTGGAAGTGTTGCAAGAAGGTCATGCCAGCACAGGCTGCACAGGTACTGAGACCTACTAAGCCAGAGGTCAGTGCGGCCTGGGGATCGTCAAAGCAGCCACGTTCGGAGGTGCACATTCTGGAAGAAGCTTGTGTCCTCGATTTGCTGGCGTATCGCTACCATGTTGCTCTGGGGCAGGCTTGACGGTCTGGTTCATCTTCGACTTCTTGGCAGTTGTGATGACCTGCCTGTCAGGGGTGGGGGATTGTCAAATGTAGCTTTGTCATGCGAATGAGCCGCTCAGTGCATGTTGTAAACTCTTTCCGTCCCTGACAGCACAAGTACATGAATGCCTTTGGCCTGAAGGGCAAATTTATTGACAACGAGGCTCGCCTGTGATGAGGGACATGACTCTTGCAGTCGAAGTGACTTCTTTGTGCCCACATCGTCTGCAGATCACCTTTGCATTCTGGTTGGCCCTGGTGTGGTTATTGGGCATGTTCATGGTATGCTGCACGCAGTCAGTCCCTTGATGCATTTGGATTTGCATTGCCTGGGGCTAGACCATCGAAGCTGTTGCCATAGCAGTTTAGATGCTGGTTGGCTGAAAGAATGCTGCAGCAGTTTGGAAGAGTCTGGCACAAGGTCAAGATGATGACAAGGCCGACACCAGTGCCAGGAAAGAATTCTCCATGACGTGTGCTTTGGAATGCAAGAATGAACATGTCACGAAACAATCAAGAGTGGTTTGCTTTACGAGCTGATTGTTCCTGTGCAATCATCGCTTGCATCGAGATCAGGTGATGCGCTCGAAGTGCTCGATGTTGTGTGCCGCATGCCACATCATGTTTCACAAATCAGACTTGGCCAAGCAGTCAAAATAGTGCGCACCGCGATCTTGTGCTTGGAGAGAGTGCCAGCAGTTTTTTTGTTTTTATTTTTCGCGTTTTCTGAGGTGGGCGCTGCATGCGCGCACGCACGAGGAGGACAAGAAGGACGACAAAAAGGACGAGAAAGCAAAAGTAAAGAAGAAACAGCGCCGCCCACAGCAGCACCGGCGGGATTGCCACTAGAAAAGTTCTTGCCCGCAATTCCGCCTCCCTTCAGTATCAAATCCGCTGTGCTTTTCATAGTCTCGTGAGTCTGTCCGGCGGCTCAGGGTCGTCATGATAGCAACAAAAATAATAGTGAAAATGACGGTAAGAATAATCGCGATAATAACAAGAATACGGTAGTAATAATAACAATAACAAAAATACTACGACCAATACTAATAAATTATACTAAAATGCTTCGGATGTGACGCCTGGCCAGGTGGAAGGAGAGGCATCAGCTGGTATGGAGCAACGATACTCAGGCACCGAATACGCGGTGCTTCTTGGCCGCATGCTGCTGGAATGTAGGGTGCCCCTGTACAAAATTGTACAAATACATCAGCAAATAAATGAATAAGCAAACAAGCAGTCATATGTATGGACAGTATATGTATATCCATATTCATATGTATATACTTATATTTATAGATAGTGACCCCACTGGACCAACTGCAGCCATGAATCTGCCCTTGCATGCCTCCGTAGAGGATAAACAGCCGAAAACACCGCAAACGCCTCTACATTTGGCATTCGTTGCCTTTATCCGAAACTTGTACGCAAGATAAAACAGTACCAAGAAGCAGGTCCCAGTTTCGTGGCCACAGTTCTTAGTGCACACGTCTGTCTTTCTTGCTCCAGATCGATGTCCATTTCTAGACTCGCTGCTTTGCCATTTTATGAAAGGTGGCGCTGTAATACAGGGTATATAGAATATACATATATATATATATGTATAATATAATTATATATATATATACACACATAAATAGTGCGTGCACGTCTGTGTAGAGCTTCCCACTCGAATTCATCATGTACAGATCAATACAGGTCATATTACATCGAGACAAAGCAATGGTTGCTGGTTCAGACACATACGGTGATATTTCAACCGCAAGTAGTTGATGCTTGTGTGTGATTGAGATTGTGGTATCTGGTTATATTCGGGAACATAGAAAAAGTCTAAGCACGAGGAACAGAGGCCACCACAGCGCCCCTTTCTCTCATAAGTCACCTAGTATATGTTTACGCATTAGTTTGTTGGTCAATTGGCGTTCAATGCTCTACGTTGCAGCTGTTGGCGTCCAACAACTATTTGTTCAACACATAAAAGCTGCATGATGTTGAACCAATGCTCACATATGTGCTACATACTCAACACTTGCTTGGTATCGAGATGCTATTAGTTCATACTGAACCGAACTTAATCACACGAAAGCATGGCAGGAATGAGCAGCAGTTAAATATTACCTTGTGAGTTTTTGTCTGATGTTTGCTCCATTCTGCTAGATGTTAAGTAATGTTGGCGAGGCTAGCCTGTGACATAATTGATTTCCGAATCATCTGTTCTTACTTCTTGTAAAGTTCGCCGTAAGGTTTAACCAGTATTCGTGCAAGTGCTGATCTTTGACTGTGATATTGTTTTTACTATTGCACTTAGCCAAAAGAAATTACTGAAACAGTTTAGGAGGTAGATAATGCTTTAAGGGTGTTTAATCGATGTCCACTGGATGTTACTATGTAGCAACTGACATTGGCGTCAAATAAATACACAAATCGCTTCTCAAATCCTCGTAGTCCATTACAACTACAAACACTTTTCGAGTACTGCTAAATGCAACGCATCAAGTTTGGGGATGCGCCCCGGCTCAATGATTTCTTTGACCACGTCTTTTGAAACTACTTCTTGCCATAAGCAAGCCCTCACCATCGAAGGCTACAAGAAGTCTCGGTTAGTCTAGAATACTAGCTTGCCGCATGGAGTCAAGCTTCATTCTGCCAGCGTTCTTGTGCGGTCTCGGGACGGAGTAGCTGAACAGACTCAATTGGTTTTGCTTTGGGTACCTACATCGAACTACTGGGGCAATACGTGCTTTCCAATCCACAATAACCAATCTTTACGGTTCGGCTGCAAGCCGATTGCTCCCGAACACCTGCAGATCACCTTTTTTAAGATTGACCGTAACTCCTCACCCAGGTCTACCGAACACCTCCCCGTGAACCACTGTGGTGTGCAGGGTGCGAAACGCGCACAAGGATAGGATCAAGCTTCAGGGGAGGAAGCGCAGCATGCAAGTAGAAACCACCGTGCTGCGGCATTGTCGGGCAATTTGTGCCATCGCATCTTTCGGCCACACCCCTAAACCCTAAACCCTAAGCCCTAAACCCTACGTAAAGGATGCCTTGATCTCCGAGGGCTGGAGTCGGCTTCAATGCACGCCAAGCCGCGCGCAGGGCTGCAACAAAAACAATCATGCATGTCCACTGTGTATGTGTGCACATGCAGAGAAAAATGCAGCAGCATCTATGTGTGTAGATAGTTCTATCTATCTATCTATCCATCTATCTATCTATCTATGCCTCTCTCTCTATCTATCTATCTATCTATCTATGCCTCTCTCTCTCTCTCTATCTAGCTTTCTATCTATCTCTCTATCTTCCTATCTATGTAGATATCTCTGTGTGTTTAGTGTTTTCACTTCTCTCTATCTCTCTCTGTCTCTTTGTGTGCCACGCGGGTTCGCCTGCAAGTTTGTTTTTCTACGCATTCTGCATGTCGGTAAAGATAGCAGGGCAACTGGATAGTGGATCTTTTCCGTGTCTTAGGTTACTTTGGACGGCCAGTGGAGCGAGGCTGGATCGCAGTGCACCTGCTCCAAAGAAGTCGTGTAATGAAGCCACAAGTCGCCCCCTAATGAGGGTACCTGAAGTCTTTCGCACAAAACCTAAGTATCGTGTCCCGGATCATTCAAGTGGAGAACCGGCATCACCAGCTTTTGTGGATCCTGCGCAGAAGACAACCCGGTTGTACCGCGGCGACGACTACGGCCGACATGGCGTCTCGATATTCCTGAGGAAGAAGCCCCAGAGAAGGCGGGCTTTGCTGGAATAACTCCGGCAATGGTGGCTCCACGGCTTGCACTTCGCTTGGGCAGGCTTATCGGATCTTTGATGCTCCGAATGCATCCTGGAAGGTTGTGGTGGGAAAGCCGGGTTTTGGGAAAGTTTTGCTGTGGAGCCAGGAGCAGCCCCAGTGGGTGATGCCGGACGTCCTCAAGTTTGTCTTAGCAGGCTCACCGACGGCGCAGGCGGTCGACTCTGGGTTGCTCAGCTGGACAGTGACTGCAAGTTTCGATTATCCACGTCTTCCCAACCGAGGCCGGGATCCTTCGGGCCCAGGCATGTCCCCGCGCAGGCCCGCATGGCTTTCCCTTCTGAGACGAGAGAAGACATGAGCGGATGGCAGGAAGCTTCAGAAAAGGAGCAGCCTTGGACTCAAGGGTTCTTGTCGTGATCCGAGCTTGTTGTGTCAGTCCGTCCTTTGAGGGGAAATCCGGTGATGAAGGCTGCCGAGGCTGGCCTTCCAGAAGAATGCAGGTGCCTGTGCCAATTACCTTCATTTGGTGCTACCAGGAAGCTCGAAAAACCGCAGCCGAACAGTGTCGCAAGGTGCCTGCTGTCAGCACTTCCGGAGTGCAGGGAGTGTTGACTCGCTATCCGCTGTACACTCCCCAAGCCTGCTGCCTGGAGGTGGGGACGCCACATGCGCCGGGTGATCTGGCATTTCAGAGGTGGGGACGCTTTGTCAAGGTTAGCACTTAGCCGCATGCAATTCCTGATCGCATGAACGGCACGTCGAAAGCTCAACAACTCGCCGCAACTCTGCGGCTCAAGCCGCACGGCCTGCAAGCCACTCCGCCCAACTTAAGCCATCCGAGTGTTTGTGACTTCCGTTCCTACAAAGGAGACACGCGAGGAGCCAAGCTGTGAAGCTGCTGTTTTGCCGCTCTGACTGCAAACTTCCTGTGCCGGCAAAGACTCTGGGATTGAGGAAGCGATGCCAATGCCACAGAACATCACGAAAGCACAGGAAGAAGCGCAACTTGGATGATATCGTGGTGGCTGGACACCTCAATCATGTCCAGCCTCCTGAATCGGTTCTGCTCGCCGCACGTGTCGTGCTTTCTTGGAGTGCAAGTGGGGGAGGACGATGCACTGCTTCCCAAAATCATCTAGACCCTGTGAAGTCCGATACAGTCCACCCAGGCAGCGCTATGTCGACCAGCACGGCCTGGATCGCCTGGTGACGAAGCTGATGAACGGCCGCTGTGATGGATCGGGCAATGCTTAACATGCCTCACATGTCATGCTCCTTCGGCATTGAGGCATCATCGCCGAGAAGCCGGAAGACACTTGCCTCGATCATGGACTCGCTCGCCCCACCTGTGATAACTGATGGTTTAAGTCCTTCGCGCCCCCGTCCACGCTTTTGCAACCTTCGTTTTCTGCAAGCTGCAGCCAAGGATCCAAAGCTCTACATGATCAAGTGGCTTGCTGAGCGATGCAACGACGACCAGCTTGAGAAAGGTGGCCTGGAACGCAAGAGCCGCTTGGCAACCGATCTAGTGACACAACTGTTCGCGGGTTCCACGGTAGCATTTGGCAGTTGCCAAAGCTGTCGTTGACCCGAGGAGCAGGAAAATGAGGGCAAATGGCGGAGAAGTTTCACCCTTGTCGTCTCACCACAAAGTTCAGCTCGTTGTCCCACCTGGGAGAATTCCACACTTCGGCAGAACAAAAAGCAAATGTGTCCGACATGTTTGGCAGCTGTCGCATCCTTCTGTGACTTTTTCATGCGAGGAAGCGCGAGTCTGGATGGGACCGGAAGCATACGGCCCGGATCCTGCTTGCTTGAGCGTTGCTTTGATAAGTATGGCTTCCGCCGAAGCCCTTGCTTGGGAGGTGCTCTTCTCCCGGGACAATGATCGCCTGCAGGTTTTCCCTCGGATGCTGAGTTTAGCCGCCTCAATCGTGACTTCGTGCCAGGTGAACATGCGAAGCTATTTCGATCGCTGGAAAGCGCCTTTGATGTTTATAGCCGTTCGCAACGCCGTTTGCTACCGAAGCTTGACTCGCCAGACAGATACAAGGATGTAGATGATGGCGGCCATGAGAAGGAGCCAACTTGGCCGGAAGCCCAGCGCACCGACGCCTTGCCCAAGGTGTATTCTATTCAAGTGTATTCATAGGCGATGCTTGAGAGAGCGTGCACGCTAAGGCGACTTCGTGTTGAGAGAAAGCCGCTGATTGCAAAGTCAGCCTCGGAGCCGTTCATGCCAAAGTTCCAGCCACAAGGCCAAGATCGTTCTTGATGCGACGCCTGGTCACCATGTGCAGCCAGGTGGAAGATATGGTCCCTGGAATCCTGTTTTCTGATAATGACAATGTGAGCCGAGCTGAAGTGCCGAATTCTGGTGCTGCATGGTTTCGTCTCACTGAAGTTAGACGTAATCAGCTCTTCACACTTACGTTGGTGGTCTGCAGCCCACCGATTCACTCAAATGGTCCTGCATGGTGGAGTTCAGTCGTCATCTTCGGGAGTTGGCAATAGCAGCATCGAGCAAGCCGCTTGCGGCCGGCCTTGCAGAAGAGAGCTGTGACGCCAAAGGCGCAGGCCCTCGCTAGAGCTCTCGCCAGCCATGTAAAACCAGTGACTTCTCACATGCACGGTCTCTCTGCCAGCCGACTGAGTGCCATGCCAGGTAGAAGCTCCAGACTCCTGGACAATTGCCATTGAAGCTGACGGCCATTGCAAGATGCCTGGCAGCACTAAGAGGATCCGGTCGTGCATCGATAAAACCAGCTTCCATCGTCAGCAAGCTCAGGATCATGATGCAGCCGATATCAGCCGACTCCGCAGGAGAGCCTCCTCACCCGGCTCTGCCAATCTACCGTCAACATTCATCAGCACTGCTTCATTGCTGTTGCTTGAGAAGGTTGCACTACGGCGGCTGCTTTTGTAATAGTCAGAGCCAAGTGTGCTCATCGCTTTGACACTGTAGCTGTAGCTAAGACTTGATGCACAAATCCTGGAGGTCAGATCGTGTTTCCGCATGTCCCACGGCTTATGCAAACTTTACTGAGCATCTCGCAAGAGTTGAACCTGCGGAAGCCGTCCTCGGAGAGCCCCGACCCACATGTGTGCGCTTGCACAGCCATGGCGGCATATGCTCCCCGAATCGCAGAGCCTTGGCAAGAGCTAGGCAGACGATTAGGGACGTGTGCGTGTCTTTGTGGAGAGCTCCGACGGACTCGCGACTTGTAAGGATGGTTTGGGGCAAGAGGCTGCCATGGCTCGGGAGGTCCTCCGAAGTTTCGAGGAGGACTTCGTGGGTGACCTACGATTCGGCTACGATTCGGCCTTGCGCAGATGCCATCCGAGGCCCGGCACCTTTCAAGGGATGCCCAGGTCCAGCAGGTGGCCTGCAGCCTGCAGCTCGCCCGCAGCATCAGTCGTTTAACAGTCCAGATGGACTCCGTGGCCACCATGTGCTGCGATGGTGAGGATCGGCTGTGCTGCAGTCGGAACTGTGGGCTATGCTGGTTTAGCCCGGACTCCCACGGGTCTGCTTCAAGAGGGAACTGTGTGCTTTGGAGCGGGCCTCGCAGGTTGCGATGCCTCTGATTGCTCTGGGAACGCTGAAGGCCCCAAGCCCAGCAGCGCCCAGCGAAGGAAACCAGCGCGGTGATGGTTCTCTTCACTGTTTCCGCGGCTCGAACCGCCCCCCTCTTTTGAGGTTGCCCTGGTGAGCGCTTTGGGAGCGATTGGAGGGGCTCACTGGGCACGGCAGCGGAGTGCCTGTGCTGCGACAATCTGCTACATTGGCAAAGCATGCCCGAAAGTGGCGAAGGTTTTTCTGTGGAGGTGGTCTGGAGTTTGGACAACGTGAAATTCCCCTGTCTCCTGTCTTTTGTACCTTGGTTGATGAAGCCGTGTTGACCTTCACAGTCTAGGAACCTTTATTTGCAGTGCCTTGTATAGGACAACTAGTGCACTGGCATGTAAAGCGTCTATGCCAAATGTGCTTACCGAAGAAGTCTGGGGCTTAGAAGCAAAATTGAGCTGCTACAGTAGTTGATGTGTTGTAACTCTGGAAGCCGACCTTCGTTCCAAATTGGTAGCGTGGCGGTCGGATTACGGCACTAGTGTTTCACCAGAGTCCTGAGGTAGGGTAGAGCAGAGCCCCTGGATCTGCAGGGTAGCTTGGGTTTGAGCCTGCCATGAGCGTTGCAGGGCTGAAATATCAGGCCCCTCAGTGGGGAAAGCCTCATCCACGTCGGCTAGGGCAGGCACCATGGGCTCTGTACACGCCCGGCCTTCGTCATCGATGTCACCGTCGCCATCTATCTGGCTGGGATGGCATGGTGCCGACTCTGCGTCCTCGTCTGCCTCAACAGACGCAGGCCTTCCCCGCCTGGCAATGGACGGGCTAGCGGCTGTGCCGCTCGACTCTTCCTCGGTGGGAAGGTCGGCTCCTCCAGCATTCTGCGCTGACCTGAGCCTAAAGCTGTGGATGCTTTTGCCTAGGCTTTTGCCCAGTCAGTTCACTTCGACTGGCTTCTGGCAAATGCTGCGCCACGCATATCCTTTAGGACCTCTCGCCTCTGTTTCTGGCATATCCGCATGCAAAACTCCCAGCCGTGATAAGGTGATAAGCTGAGGTATAGTTATACGATCCGGAGTTTGTCTCTGCGGGTGCTGCATGGTGACATAGATATCTCAGAATGCGTCTCGAAAATACTCGAGGGTCTCCGTGGTGACGCCTTCAGTATTGCTAGGGATGGCAGAGACCATCTGATTGAGCACATCCGCCAACAGGCTTTCCCCCTCCAGTCAGAAGAGGCCTCTGAGCTTTTCAGGCGGGGGCAGTTGATCACTGGTCCCCTAGCGAAACAGCAGGGAGTGCCCATGCTTTCGTATATCGCAAGCCGAAAGCGCTGGTGGTCCTCGAACTGGATGCCGACATTCGGTTGTCGGAGGCCATGCGACCTAATCTGCTCGTGGAACTGTGTGGTTTAAGCCGGCAGGAGCAGCTCATGATTAAGGCAGCAGCCCGCGCACACACACAGAGACACACACAC